CTCTGAAAATTGAAACACAAGTCTTTACTAGGACAAATTCAGCAACCAAAAAACAGCAGACGACAAACTGAGCTATGCTACCTCATCTACTCGTTAGGGTGATTCACTACAGTTCTTGTTAGCTTGTCTTCAGCATCTTTAAAGAACTGTTGCTGGTATTTGAATTATTTGCTCAGCTTTATAACGTAACAGGGCAAGCATTAAAAAGTATGTGAAGGTTTCCATGCTTTTCTGTCATCACAAAACAGAAATATCTTCTATTGCTGGGACTAGGAATAAGTACAGTAATTACATTAAATGTGAAAAGCTCCATATACATATACCAATGTGTGTGAGAGAGCGAGCAAGAGAGAGAAAGAGGGAGAGAGAGAGAGAGAGAGAGAGAGAGAGAGAGAGAGAGACTCAACATGCATTCACATAAAGAAGAACCAAAGTTCCCGAAAAACTAATGCAAATTGCAACTCAGGGTTTAGGATCTCGTCATTCCTTCTAGGTCTGAGCTTGACTCCATTTTCTTTGGAAACCGTGTTCTATTCCGTTATCTGTCATGGCAAACAGACCGCATAAAAACCCATGGACATTAAGCTCTTCATCAAAACACGTTCCTGGATGGGCCTAATCCTCGTCACCAACAGCCAGAGCCGGTGAGTGTTTGCTGGGATTTCCCATGAGGTTCTGCTCATAACACCCCCACATAACCACTGCTGTGGCTTCAGCCTAGCCCCCCCCCCCCTTCCCAGGCTGCCATTAAGCAGATGGTCCAAATCTGAGGAAGTAAAAAGCATCACGAAACAAGATTCCCATTACAGATTGAGAAGAAGGTAGTGGAATAAATCTGACAAAACTGAATAGGTGTAGATGGTCTCTCCAGTGCAGAGACAGCCCCCCATGTACCAAGCGGGGGGTGAGACGTGCTCAGGCAGCCGCTGGCCACAATCCTCATTTCTGTTTTTGAGGTAATTATTCTAACAGTAAGCTTCAACCCCTCTGGTGTTTCAGATGTAAATCAGACTTTAATTAAAATGCAGTCCAGAATTCCTGTCAGTGTTAGTCTGCAGTGAAACAAAGTAGCTTTTGTAGTTCCGTAAAAAAAATGAGCCCACTCTATATTTTTTATTCTACATTTTTATATCCAGGTTTAATCCTGGTTCTGCTAACAGAAGGCTACAGTGTGCAGCTTCCAGGTAAAAAATTCTAAAACACTGGAAACGACCAGAAACCAGCCAGGTAAAGGGTGGAAGCGACTTTCTAATGACAGAAATGACCAATAAGTTATCTGACAGTTTCTTATGATAATGGATGACATCAAATGACCTTCAAAAGGAACAGGAAACATTAAGTGCAGGTGTGAAGTGCACTGCTAGGACAGTTTATATCAGGATCCTATTGAAGGCTCATAAAGCAAGGAAGAATGAGAGAACCAGGATGCAATTTGTAAAAAAAAATATATATTTATATATATATATATGTATATATATATATTTATATATATTTATATTTATATATATTATTCACAGATACACACCCATCAATTGAGAAAAGAGTGAAAGAAAGAAATTGTGCTCGAGTCAAGGCTGTATGTACTTGTGAAATTGGCAGGAAAATCTAGATTTTGAATGCCTCTATACTCAGGTATACTTTTCTAATCTACACAGATATCTGTACAAAAGAACACACGTTAATTTCTTGAACATTATTTTACTGGTTGCAATTCAAACCTAAAACACCGTAGGATAGCTTGATGACCAGCGTTACTCCTTTTAGCTGAGGAGATCTGCTGTATCTCCCTTTTGTTTGCCTGCACACCTAGTGCTCCTGCTATCCGTAATCCCACGTGACGCACTGCTGGCTCCCAAAGGGAGACGCTCTCGTTTCTGTTGGGGCTGAAGTTAAACTTGTTGGCTGTTAGCCTGGCAGAACTTATATTTTTGCTTGATTGCACTCGGCTGGTTTTGTGCTTCAGACTCTGCACTTCACACCTCGAGCAATCAAACCCACGGCCTGGAATCGATGACAGACTGTGACTGAACAGTAGCTCAGTCAATGTGATGCCCCAGTACTAATACAAACTAATTAACCTTCTGATTAGACAGTAGAAAGTGGAACGGCTCGGTTTTAGGACAGAAAAGTTGAGGAACTTTCATAATGGAAACTGGCTCACTGCAGACATAGCAATGGCATAGAGTAATTTGTTTAATTACCAGGTGAGTTAAAAATAAACTTAGTGAATGATTAATTGCAACCTCTCGGTTCCTCTACCCTTGTGATAAAGTACAGGACACCATAGATGTGCGTGATAATGATGACTCTCCCACCAAGCGAGGCTGAGAGATCAGCGCGTCCCATCGCAGCAGAGCACTCGCATGTTTTTAAACACAGCCCCCGGGACACCACCCCCCCCATGTTCAGCGCGATAACTACATGATTAGGAAGACAAATGATGTTAACAGACATAATTTTACGCCCAATGTGATCATTAAAAGAGCACACAGCAGCTATACAGCAGCACTAATTGGGACTGGAAGATGACCATATAAGCACATTACAGCTATCCATCACCATTGCTGTTCAGAGGGAGGCTTGTCCTGAGCATTACTGCACACCTGCCTCACAGATAGACCATTGCTCGACAGCAGCAGACAACAAAAAAACAGCACAACCACCCCCCACCCACTCACTAACCAATCACTGGCCTAACTGCCCCAACAGCTATAAATAATCGTATAACTAACAGAATCAGCACCCAAGCACAGTTGAGGTCATCAAGGTTAAGCATGTGACTGTCTCCTCTAGCACAAAGATAAGTGTGCAATTCTAAAAAAAACATGTGAGTTGGGTTATTCATGTACGATGCTCAAGAGATTAAGGGGCAGTGTGTGGCTCAGTAGGCTGAGCCTGTAATCAGAAGGTTGCTGGTTCAAACCCAGCCTCAGCATGTTGGCGGGTCCTTGAGCAAGGCCCTTAACCCCCAGCTCCCAGGGTACCCCAACAGGTGGCTGCCTTTTGCTCTGCAAAGAACAAGTTGAGGGAGGTGTAAAAACAATTTCCCCACAGGGATCAATAAAGTATCTATTATTATTATAAGAGAAAAACAATAAAAAAGCACCAAACTTCCACACATCTCTTGCAATCAGCCTCTGTCATCTCAGCTCGAAATCCAAGCTTAGTTAACATTTATAGAAATATTAGCTGCAGTGTTTGTAAACTGCTCTGAATACCTTTTTAAAATGCTGGCAGTATCTATTCATGAAAATGAATCAATCATGTGCCTTAAAGAGCACAACGTGAGAATACCAAGCAGCCGTCTCTCCCTCACCATGCCTGTGGGGCTGGCAGGCGCCTGAATGAGCTCCGTTCTCTCTCGCTGCCTTCAGATTTGAGAGTGTTGGGCTCCTCTAACCCTGACAGCTCAATGGGCCTTGAAAATGAGGTAGTTTAAATATGGCTGACTATACTGTATCAGAATTAAGGCCTGTACCTCATTATACCATGTGCCAATGCCATAAGAACAGTGGTGAAATAAAACCGTATAATACATGGTTATATGAAAGACAAAGACCACAAGAATTAAAGGTCAAAGAGAAATTCAACAATGCACGACTGGGGATGATATATGGATGACATGTGACCCCCTCCACCTTTAAAAAAGTACCTTTTCTGGCATTCGTCATTATAAGGCATTATGAGACAACCTCTTTGTTGGTTAACTGACAAGAAAATAAATTTTGAACAATGCAGACATCATGACGTTTTAGAGAAACAACTTATTCTACTGGATTTCACAGCTGAAGAGTCTCCGAGGTGCAGTGACCATACCTTCAGCTGCATCCTCACTCACTGGGTTACGGATGGTATGGATTATTAACTTTTACTTTTGACTAAAGTCACTTGTAATCTAGTCAGAGTACAGATGCATTTCTAATAGTGTTTTTATTAGCTGGAAATTCTTTCCATAATTCTGTGACAGAGTATAACGAGACTTATTGAAAACGATTTATTGGGTCTACATGTCTGGCACTGTCTAAGGATAAAATGATAAATGCACTGTGACCCCCCCAAGCTTATTCTCACCTGTATGGAGAACAGGCTGGCACAAAGAGAAAAGAGAAATTCCCCACGGGTATTAATAAAGTATCCCTATTCTCTATTCAGTTCTAAACAGGAATAGTACCTGCAGATGACATACTGGCTGAAGCACAGCAGCACTGATCCCTCACAGTACTGAAGCACAGTGACACTGATCTCTTGCGGTACTAAATCACGATGGTACTGATCCCTCACAGTACTGAAGCAAAGTGGCATTGATCCCTTCAGTTTCAGTGCTGAGGTTACTGAGCTTCTTTAGTTTCTCTCAGGCACAAACAGAAACCTTGTAACACCTAGGGTTTGAGGAGTGGAGCAGGAGTCCCACTGAAACAGGCCTCTCTTTCAAAAACTTTTTTTTCCAAACTTTTCTTTGTTGAAGCTTCCAGGCCGCCTCGGAGCTGCTAATTGTCAGTTCCAACAGCACCTTGAAGTGAGGATGGGGATGCAGAGAACAAGACATCAAGAGCTGCTCTGAAGTCCTTGGATGAAGAATCTGAGAGTGGTGAGATGTTCCTTTCATGCTTCCAAAAAAGAATTAAGCCATAAGTACAATAATGAGGAACCAAAGTGATTCACTGTATTTCATACATACACACACCTGCTTGTGCTTAAACTATTTCCTCCATAAATATTATCCTATAACTTATGCTTAAACTCTTTCCTCTGTAATTATTATCCTATAAATCTACATTCTATAATCTTAACTATATCCTAGTTACCTGATGGATGATCAGTAAAAAAATATCTAGTAGGCTTAAAACACAAACAACTCATTCATTCAATCATTCATGCATTCAATTAATACTGGTAATAAGCGTTTTTAATGTATATTTTTTAATCTGTAAATGTCTGATTTTGTTCTTTTCATTCAATTACTTGCCTGAAGAGATATCAATAGTCTTCTCTAACCACATATCATGTACTAGGTCAAGTTGAGCTTGGAATCTATCCCAGAAAACAGGAGACACCGAGTATTAACTCACTGTAGAGTATGGGAAGGAACCTGGATGAACACACACACACACACACACACACACGCACACACACATGTAGGGTAAACATATCCTTATGGGGACCGCTCATTCATTTCAATGGGAAAAATGCTAACGCTAACTATGACAACCTTAACCCCCCCCCTGCCCTAACCATAACCATAAGTAACCAAACAATTGCCTCTCTTTTGGTCCTCAAATGTGATATATGCAAACCCACACACACAGGCTCTCCATTCATTTCTATGGGGAAAACTCTAATCCCAACATGACACCCTTAACCCAGCCCTAACCTTAACCAAACAAAATACTGGACTTTTGGCATGTTTTTTTATTTCATTCAAAGGTCTTTGTGGGGATCCAAAAAATGGTCCCCACCACATCAAAATAACAGGTTTTTATCACATTGTGGGGTACATTTGGTCACCACAATGTAATATAAGCATAATCCACACACACAGACTTAAAAAACGAGTACAACATTATTGCTATTTAATAAACAATAAACAAAAAAGGAAAGAATCTATAATAGAAAACACTTGCTAAGCTGAGAACCCATTTGATATTTTTTTGGCAAGCCACACTCTGTAGACAATAGCATGTTATTGATTATGCCTGCAGGTCTTTGTGCCCTGTCTTTCTTTTGCCATTCATCTGCAATACACCTTCTGACATGACTCACTTGATTGGCCGGTATGAATCATGTGATATTGTGGGAGCGGGGGGTGGGCCGTCCATCCACTCCGGGAGATTGAATCAGTAAGTTGGTGTCAGGCTTCTCTCCCCGATCACTGCTTTTCCTGGTTATTTTTATATGAGTGTCTGTTTCTTTTTTCACCTCCCACAACTCACCTGAGGATGGTATTTTGACATTTCCTTTCTCCTATCCTGTTTTCTCTTGTTTTCCCATCACCTGTACAAATGATACCTTTCAGTTTGTCTTCAAGGTCACCCAGACAGTCTTGAGTTCTCTTTGTGTCCATTTCTGCTTCTGGAGTCATGAGACTGAGAAAAGACAAAGGAATCTGAGCTGCTTTTGGAGTGGCTGAACTGTACAGCTATTTTCCTGGTAATTTCCACTGTAAAAGGTCCAGCAGACTCTCCCAGTGAAATACTTCTTACTGTCAGCATTGTAATGTAATACAAGAGCACTCCGTTTGTGAGCTTCTATCAAACTTTTTTGCAATAAGATCATAATGAAGAGGACTATAGAGAGCTCCAATATGTTCATAAAAGATACAATTCAATAAAAAATTCATGATGGCTGCATTTATCCCTGAATGAAAACAACAAACGCACAATGAACAAAATCCCATTTTTATTAGCTGCAGTCGCCGTGCTAGACTTCATAATGCCTCCCCTCTGAATGTTACACAGGATTTCGGCATCGCTGGAGGAAACTGCAGAACATGGGCTTCTCTCTGAAAGCCTGGGTGTATGTGCTCACCAAACTGACCTCTCTGCTAAGTCTCCCACAGGAGTAGTGGGGGGGGGGGGCAGAGTGATGAGGATGTAACCCTTCTTCGTGGAGCCCACCTCACCCTCCCCAGCTTGTTTCAGCTTACCTCAGCCCTTCGCACGTAGCCGCAGGCTGGAGGCACTGGCTCGAGCGTGAGCTGATCTTCACAGAGAGGCAGATGGGGCTAACGCAGGGTATTAAGGGTGCACCACTCTGCTGCTTGAGAGGAGGGAGCTCTATGCCAGTTGCCTCAGGCAGGACCAGGCCATTGCTTCTCAGTCTATTGATGTTCTACCTCTTTTACCGAAAACAGGTGAAGTTCACTTCAATCAGCAGCTCCACAACCCACCTGGAGAACAGAAATGGCTCTGCACTCCAAAATGTCTCTCACCAAATCACACAAATGGGCAGTCAGACACGCATCCCATGGCTATTATGATGCTGAAGAGAGTCACCCCCCCTCACCTTAATTAAAACCATCCACCACTCTTTACCACCCACCTTTACCTCCTCTGACCCCCTCCTTCCTTCAGATCATGTCCTATGTAAAATCCCATTCAAATCCTGACCACCGATTCTCTGGTCTAACCCCAAAGGTTGTGAATTTAGTGGTTTAGGATCACCGTTAATCCATCCTCCATGTTCACTGCCCTTTCAGACCAATTGCAATGGAAGTGCAGGACAAAGGGTTTAACTAGAGTGTTATGGGATCAAGGCACATGTGGGGTAAATTGTTGGCTGTGATTTTCCCCTAAAACGGAACAGCTTTACTTTACTTTGCCAGGAGATTAAACAGCTACTGCAGGAGTTAATCTGTCTTTATGTGCAATCATTTTACTACAACCCAGATGGAAATAAGGAGAAAATAACATATTTGTGTTTTGCAGCATCATGTTGCTTTGCGTGGCAATTAGCTCACTCAAGTAATTAATGATGATTACATTTCAGGAACCTGCAAATGTATAGTGAAACCATGCAGTTTGGACAGCAAAAGTCCACCCCCAGTTCATGGTGTATGGCTGCATATTAAACTACGATGCATCTGATGCATTTGTGCAGGGCAGGCAACATAATTAGCAGAAAATAGTGCAGTAATTAATGTAACCAGTAATTCAAAGTCAAACAGAGGGCACAGGGAAAAGGAACAAGCCATTCAGAGCTTCCCTGTCCTCTGAAATCTCAGGGTGGCTGAAGCTGGCAGCCAAAAGCACCAAGGTCAGTGACCTGTGGCAAAACTGGGAAAGGAAATGAAAGTCACCTTCTGACATAACTATGGGAAGATTTCAATGAAAAGCTGCATTTGGCATATACAGCACTGCAATAAGCAGCCAGAGTGTAATGTTAGGGGTGCATTCATGCTGGGTAATAATGCACATGAAGCAGTACTTTACGTAGAATAGCATAACCATATGCTCTGATGCCCCTACATAAATCCTGCCATAAATACATTTTCATATGGGGGAACAATCAGTGTGCGTGTGTGTGTCGGCGGGGGGAGGGGGGGTTGGAGCAGAGAACATGTGGGAAAAGGTGAAGAACAAGATAACGGAAAATAATCCTGAGAACGTAAAGCTAGTGGGTGAGATATTTCACCTGTAGGACAGAGATGCCTTTGCCCGAGTGGGAGGCAAATAAGCAGGGGCAGCGTGGCTGTACGTCTGTGTCACTGTAAGCGGCTACAGTTTTGGCCCAAGCGGCGGCAGCACTTAAGCTAATAACCATCTGAGAGAGGGAAAACGTAAAGGAGAGCAAGAGGGAGCAAGAGAGAGAAGCAATGAACGTAAGTTATATACCTGGTGGGGGAGAAGCTGAGGGTTGGGGGGTGTTACTGCACTGCATCCTGCAACAAAGAGGACATCTTAAGAGCATTGCCTGCATGTATAACCTACAACCATCATAAGCACACAGTCAAAGATGTATCCCTGCATATATACAGACATCAATGTAACTGTAAGTTGTGCGATCTTTACTGTTCACCTTCATTAACAATCTGGTACCCTGCTGCCCAGGTGTGAGCAGAGGATTATGAGGCTCTGCACAGAGTGTAGCTGTGTAGCTGTTCTTTCTATCACATGTAGGGGGCAGTAGGGGTCTGGGGTGGCCTTGCTGACATCTAGAGGATTTGACCTTTACTCAAAAGCAGCAATCAATCAGTGACCTTCAGATCTATAGTCTGACACTTGTAGTCACACACAGACATGGGTTGCTCACACAGGTATAGGTCCAGTGTATGTGCACTGGCTCACAAACCCAGTCTGGAATACAAAGGAGTCATATATCTGCACATATGCGATCAATCACACAGAGGTAGACACAGACCCACAGACACACACATACATACACACACACTACACCAGCAGCGTTAGACTAAACAGAGGCCTTTCAAAAAAAATGCTCCACAATAGCGGCTTCTGTTGTTTTTGCTTAAATGTAATTTCACACTCTTGGTCAACGTGAAAAATACAGAGTTGCACCATTTTTCATCCAAGCTCTTGCTTGGCCAGGAGGATGATAAGAAAAAATATATTGCAATGTTTTTGTCTGATATGAATTTTACTTACAGTCTAGCTATAGTTACAATGAAATATCCGAGATGACTTGATGTGGCTCATCATCTTAATATTATGACAATAATGACAATGACAATGGAGATTATTCTTATTTTAACTTCCAGCCAACTTGAACACAAATCATTAGAACTTAAAAAAAAACATGATTATAGATAATGTGATGGAAGCCTGTAATCTGCAGGGTTGTGGTCACACTCGGTTTGTGTTGTTTCAGTCTGGGTCCTCCATTTTCCCTGTACTTAGATACCCTGATTTCTGACAATATCTACTCAAAGATAATGGAAAGCCAAACATCCATCTTCTAGCTGCAAGACATCAGTGCATTTCAGGCCACATACACACATACAGTAATCATACACTATGGGCAATTTAGATATACAGTACCACGTAGCCTATATGTAAGGGGGAGAACATGGATAGCCCACTTAGGCACAATGGAGGCAGGATTCAAAACACCAATGCACAAGACATCAGCATTACCCACTGAGCCGCCCTGACAAGCGAAGGCTATGCTGTGCAAATAGTTAGTCTGGAATGACCTTGAAAGATTTTAAGCTTATGACAAATAAAAGGCAAGGTATTCTGCATTTGCACTGGTGTTCCAGACATATTTCTGGCAACCAAGACATACGAGGCGGGAAAATTTCTCAGTTTGACGACAAAGAGTAAACTGGGAAGGCCATTAGCAAACAGCAGCAGAAATGGGTCTGTAACTACATTTCAGTTCTGCCTCCAGTTTTAATTAAAGCGATTTTGTGGCTGCAGTGCCGTAGAGGATGTTAATCTGACACATAGCTGCTGTGTTTGTGCAGAAGATAAAAGTGAGAATTAAAAAAAACGCTTTGTTTGCTTAATTTCCCTGGAATTCCAAGCAGTACAGGGAATATGCCAGACTGCCGGACGGGTTCGTTATAACAGGGTTTCAGTGTTTTTTACATTTTAATAATTTTTTTTTCTGGACTCAATTTTGCATCTCCAAATTCTGGCACAATGGTGTTAGTCTTTGCACGTGTGCATTTTCACATGCATGCTTGCTTATGTCCAGTGAGATGATAGCAGGGTTACTGCATGGAAAATTTACACAAAACTACTGAAAGGACTGTCAGATTTGAAAGCAGTGAGTCTATTGGGATAAACTGGCTTTATCTACAGCAAGCCAGCCCCTTCGTCATTGCCAATATTAACTTCCAATAATGACCATTAGGAAAGTATTGAAAGTGTAAAAATGAGGAATAAGATCAGATGAAAGCTTCAGCTTGCCTAATTTGGCACCTGATGGATTATATCATCATTAAGCTATCACTGACTACCACTCAGTTATTCAGTAGTGTTGGCATCCATTGCATACAATGGTCTTTAAGCATAAGGTTGCAGTTCTCATTGCACTATATTGGCACAATAGTTATTCTGCTCTCAGCAATGGAACTGAACTGCCATTTGTCTGTCAAATCAGGGTAATCAAGGTAAGTTGGCCAAAACATGCTAGAAGGCTACTGTTGAGCAGATGTGAAGTTTGAGGGACAATGGCAGGTACAGTACTGGTGTTGGATATGGGATTGTTAATTAGTAACGATAAAAAGCGTCAGCACAGCCACCAATAACAATAACCAGTCCTGTTGAACCTTCAGGCCTCACGGTGGGTTGTTCTGAGGTTTCACACTCACCAGACACTGAATGGAAGTTCTGAGATGACAGCTTAATGGCAGGCTGAGCTCCAGCATAGGCAGGGCATCAGCAAGGTCCCACCTAGACTGCCACCCAGTATCGCCACAGTGGGATATTGTATGCTGTGCACTCTGACAATCACTTGATAGTCCCTGTAAACGATGACGTCTGCACCTGTGTTGGCCAACTTCTCCTATCAATCCGATCTGATTTACTACTCTGTGCTCTGGAATAAAACCCCTCGATAACCTTCATCAGATGTTTTACTCAGAATAATGGAAACAGGAAAACACTCACTTAGGGTGTTTTCCACGGCACCAGTACCGTACTTTTGGTACTTTGAGAAAGTACCAAAAGTACAGTACTTCAAGGTCTGTTCCACTGGCTCTGGTAATGCTGAACGACATCAGTCAGGGTATTTTGTACTGAATTTGAAAAATGGCTGCATGTAGTATACTGTATAATACGGCTGGATATTAATTTCAACATCGCATGTTAGGCACATGCAATTATCAGATGGCTAATCAGCTAGATTAAAGATCAGGCTTTTTCTTAGTTTCAATTCTGTATTATAGCGCAGGGAGTTAAAGTTTTGTTAAAGTGTAGTTTTCTGAGTTTGTCATTGTTTTCAAGGCACTGGGGGTATTCCATAAAAGTAGCTAAAAAAAAAAGGCAGACTTTCCCGAAAAAGTCAGACTCAACCTACCTCCATCTCTAAACTTAGCCTCACGTCGTTCCACGAACGCAGTTCAGTTTTAATTAATCAAGGTTCATTCAAGACAGACTTGCATAGTCTCACTTAGTGCAAACACCCGCGATATTTACTGTAAGAAGCCCAAATAAATGGATGAACGATAGATCGACCGAATGAGTCGGAAAGCCTGTAAAATGAGAGCGATGTTTCTTTCCGCCGCAGAATAAACGCTGCTGATGGAGCTGTATGAAAAATACAAAAATGTAAGTTAAAAAAGGCAACACTGTGGCCATAAACACAGCCAGTGAGTTGGCTTGGCAATTAATTGTAGACACACTACATGCGGAAGTTCCTGGTTCAATCCCGAGCAGGGATCCTTCTGAGTTGATTTCACCCGTCATTATTACTGTATAATGTTATTTGATCTCCGTATAAAATACTTTTAACTCACATCCGTGTTGAAATGTCCTGCACAAATAAACGTATGTTGTCTTTGCTATTTTAGTAGTAAACTTTCAAAGTAGACAGTGACTAAAAATATAAAGATATCTTCCTGTTCATATTATTTTAACGGATTTTTTTTTTCCAATTACAGTCATTGCATTTCATGTTTCACCTTTGTAATATGCGTACGCTTTTATTTTACAGTAAAATACCCTTATAACGGACTTCAAGGGACCTGGCAAAACAGTCCTTTACACTCAGAGTTGCTGTATGTCCAGAACACAACTACAGGACACCATTTACTCATGCCGCACCCCAGCAGACACACTTGTGGTATAGATTATTATATTATACATGTAGTAATCCAATTTTACCTGACCAATGGAAGTATATATGACCTATAAGTGGTTATACATGTACGGTACAGTAGTAATCTTGACCTCTTTGCTTACTGTATCCCTCCAGCTGCGAGCGTCATCTGCCGTCGCGCAGCTTGCCTGGTGATGGACAACCACACAGACCAATCAGTGTTGCCTGCTGTTACGCCATGCCTATGTATAGAGCGTGATTTAATAATCCAGACTACGTATCTGCACTGGATATCACCGGCACGCCACACGCCTTGAAGGCGGAGCCTGTATGTCCGTTATAGCCGAACAGAACTACAGCTAAAAGTGGCTCTGGGGACCAAATTGTTTCTCCGTTATAAGCGAAATATGTGAGTCCGCCACATCCAATGTTTTTCTGCATGTTCGTAAAGGCGCATGGCCGGGACCAGTGGACCTCATCCGTTATAGATGATATTCCGTTTAAGCGAGTCCACTGTAACGGGATTATACTGTATTATTAATTTTATTATATTTTTTCATCTGTGACATAATAGGTCAACCGAAAAAAGCCAAATACTAACAAGCTAAAACGAGCCATATCACCACCTACTTCCCTTTCGGCAGGGGAAAGTTGCCTGGGACCACAATGCCTGGGGGTAGAGGAGGAACGGGAGCCCGATTCACACAGGCCAGATTCTGAGAGCTTAGCTGAGGCGAAGAGCTTCACAGGGCTCTCGAAAACTCATGAACACACTCTGCTGGGAGAGACAGCCATCACTCTCTGCATCCCTCCCTGCTGGTCACAAAGAGTTTAAACTTAAAAGGTGTCAAAAATGAATAGTCTCATTCCTTCACAGAGTGCTAAGGAATTCAGTTCTTTAAAGGCATTTGTGTATAAGGGACTATGGTTGTTATCCCCAAAGCCATCAACAGAGGCCCTTTGCTATGACTAGTCATTAGGAAAGTAGTGTTGAGGTCAAGAGATCAGACCTCTGGGGACTGTGCTTCACCCTTAATACCAAGCTAACCCTTCCTAGCAAGGTGTTAAATGTGAAAAACCCCAGTAAAAAGGTGGGCTGGCTGATAAATTGGGCAAGAAATTATTCATTGATAAATTATTAAGGTCAGTCAGTTTGGCCCGACAGTGCACTGAATCAAGATTCAGAATAATTTAGACAATTTTTTTTAGAAAGCCAGTGCACTGAGGCAAATACAGAATTCTATCAATGGTGCTTTGCTTGTAATTATCAATATTTAAATCAAAAGTGAATAATATATATTTAAATCTGGAATTTGTTTTTTCTCACAGTTTTTTAAATTCTGAGTCTTGATAGATGGCCTAACTTCACAGTTGAGTAAATGTATATTGTTTCTGTGCAATCATTAAGGAGATAATGACTTCCCTGTGCAGTGAATTTCAGATTTGTAATGCATAATCACAATTCAATGCGGATTACTAAGAAAGAGTAACTGGAGGCGTGAAACGAAATGCATAAAAATGTGAGTGGTGATGGGGGCTTCCATTGCTAGGTACCCCTCCCTTAAGCAGTATCTCTGCTGCTTCCTTATTCGCTTTAATGAGCAATTTCTTCAAATATAAATAAAACAGTGCGCAGTGCACCATTTAATGAATTGGTTGCAGGGGTAACATTAAGAATTTCGGATGCACATCTTATCTCTAAATGCAGGATAGCACATACTTAGACTATTAACATCGGAACAGAGGTAAAATGTCTAGGCAATCTCAGAAGACAAACTCCACAGTATTACTGTCAAAAGAACATTAATGCTCCGCAGGGCTTATTTCTGTCTTCCCAGTTGTCTTGGGGCGTAATCCTGACGGTGACATGACAGGCGCTTAGCCTGCTGCTAATACCCCAGCCGCCCCGGGGTCTCCGGCAGCGCACTGAGCAGCCCTAGTGCCCCCTGCCCCGCGCTCTCACTCCCCACTCCTCAGTGGGGTGAGATTACAGGGAGATTAAAGAACAGCCAAGAGAAACTTCTCTCTTCACTTTGGCTTTAATCATCTTTCCAGTGCTAAGCTTAGAAGACTTTATCTGTGATTTCTAATAAAATTATATGAATATTGCTGTCAAAAGATATGAATAATGTTAAGAATATACAGCAATTACTATATTCCTGGCATTCTTAACATAAGTAGAAAAGGGTACTTTAAAGAGTCTTTATTAATGTTAACGTGACATAATAAAAGTGCAAGAAAAAAATTACAGTTCTGGTGAATTTCTGACTTGGGAATTACAGTGGAAGTAGAGATGAACATACCTTGGGCGACTAAATGTGTTTTGTGTATATGCATGTGTGTGTGTGTGTGTGGATTATGTTTATATATTGTGGGGACCAAATGTTACCTTGGTGTAATTTATTTATACAAATATATATCTATTTCTTGTTTTACTGAAAAATGGTGTAATGATATTCTTGTGCATCCAGTTCCACTGGTGCCTGGACTTCCTATCTATGTGCCTTCTTTATGATAAATCACATGTCATTTCAGTTTCTTTAGTGTTCTATGTGTTTCCCAATAAGTGGTGACAGTTTTTTTTTCCTTGACTCGGCTGATTTTAGGTTGTTGTGACATTACTGCACAGTGCAAACCGCTTGATATTGGTGAATTATAGCACTGTGCGTGAGCACCAGCTGGCTGAAGCAGCCTTCTGGGGACACCTCTTGGCATTTTCTGAGCTCAGTATGAGTCAGCGCAGCCATTTTACCATGAATACAAATATCCTCACCCTTTGCTGCATTCCACCTAAAGACGTGTTTTGAACTACTGTCTAAAGCCATCATGCACTTATTCAATTTTGCAAGCAGATTTGTATAGCTAATTATTTATTTGCCACTATTAAATAACTGTCTTATAGAGTATATGCTGTGTGATTCGCTGAATTATCCATCGACCACAGAGGGCTGGGATGAGCTGGCAGCCAACCCCAGGGAGCACATGGTAGAAGTCGCCCTGGAGGACATACCAGTCTCTCCCTAGTCACCAAACCACCATAATTATGTACTGTACTTTCCCCTGTCAAAATTCAGTCAACTGAAAAACATGAAAACCCCAATACAACATAGTAACTATTTCCTCTTCATTATGTTACAAATAGTTAATTTCATAATGCATTCATGATTAGTGTTTTTTTGTTTTTTGTTGTGAGTTTGGTGAACATTGGTGCATATTCCATAGATTCCTTTTCTGTTCCTGTTTGCCCTATGCAGGGTTGCAGAGGTTTGGAGCCGATCCCGGGAAGCCATGGGTGCAAGGCAGGGAATACCCCAGCACGGGGCACCAGCCAATCGCCAGGCACACACAACATTCACACACACAATCACTGGAGTATATTATTCTATCAAAAAAGTCATGGACATTGGACTAGCTGTGCTTTCATTTTTAGTGCATTATATTGCTGTTGATATGTATAGAGAATTTTAGAATGGTTTTGGTACTTTTAAACTTTTTTTTATACTTACCTCAGTAATAAAACTTCGGAACAAATCTCGCATTTTTATTGAATCGCTTGTTTTGTTGCGGAGGAAGATCTACTGCAAAGAAACAATATCACCAAAATGACAGAATACTTATTACACTGTGTGAATTCTCTGAAAATAAAATTTTAACTTACAAGGTCTTTATGAGAACGTTTGCGGCATTCTGCAGCTATTATTTAAAACTTTATTGCATGTCATTAGTGCTTAATGCAGCTTCTCCCTATCAATTCAAGTGCAAGGGTTGTAATGTATTTAAAGATAGATTATTCAACCATTTGTACTTCCTGTTAGCGTCCCACCTGTATGTGCTTCATAAGCTAACCAAGCTTAGAAAGCCTCCTTCAGCCTGACAGCTCTCTTCACCGCTGTTGTCCACCACTGAGTTTAGGGATCGGCACCACGACAGGCAGCAACAACTTTACAGCCACAGCTCTGCACAACTGCCTCAGCAATGGAGTCCCAGAACAAGGCCCAGTCAGGCTCACTGTCCCTAGCCTCACTCAGGAGGTGCGAGCTGAAGATCTCCCAGACATACTGTAGGGCGAGCCCTGGCATGACCCTGAAAAGAGGACCAAGGGTCAAAATGGAGGACACCATCAAAAGCTGGTGAGCTGGGGTGGCCATTCTCAGTATCCAGAGTATGTGTGTGCAGGGATTTCACATTTTATGACTGACTGGGGCTGGGGGAAAGTGGTGCTAGTTGTTGGTGGGTAAAGTGCAGGAAAAAAGGACATGGGGGCTAAAAGGTGGACACTCAACAGTAGTCTGGTCAGTGGGCTGTCTAGACGAAATCCAGACAAGTGGCCACCCTACCCAGACAGGGGCCTCTGCCAGACACTCCCAGCACAGCCCCCCCCCCTCTCATGCATTTGGGTCTACCAGGTCTATCCGGCATCTTCCCCACCATTTGGTCTCAATCTCGTGATATCAAACTGTAGGTGGTGATCAGCTGACAGCTCAGCTCCTCTCTTCACATGGGTGTCCGAGACATGCGGTCGAAGATCCAATGACACAACTACAAAATCTCTCATCGATCTGCCGCCTTGGGTGCTCTGGTGCCAGGTGCACTTATGAACAGTGTTATGCTCAAAAATGGTTATGGATAAACTGTGGCTAGCACAAAATCCAATAACAGAGCAGCACTCAGGTTCAGAACAGGCAGGCCATTCCTCCCAAACACACCCTTCCAGGTTTCACTATCCTTACCCACATGAGTGAGTAGGACAATGGAGTCCCCAGAGGGGGGCACCTTCCAGCGCTCCATCCAAGGTCTTCAAGAAGGCTGGATACTCTGGACTGGTGTATGTAAGCAAAGACATGAGTCAGATCCTGTCCCCTATTCAATGGCAGACAATACTTGTTATATATCACAGGGTAAATTTGAGCTTTCAACAGTATTATATTAAAATACACAGGGTTTTACATATCATATATTTTCTTTAAAATATGAAGCTGCTACCCCCGCGACCCGAACCCCGGACAAGCGGTAGATGATGGATGGATGGATGGATGGATATTTTCTGTAAAATACCTTCTGTTTACAATTACATGGTCGTCAATTTAACATGAAAAATATATTTGATCCATAGCAGCATATAACCACTATTGTGTAATTACACAAATTAG